TCCTGCACATCACCCAGGGAACCCCCCAGCCTGCCTATGTGTCTTCTGCATCCCCCACAGGGCCAGGCTCTGAACCAAGCCCAGAGGTTTGCCCTAGATAGGCATTCTATTCAATTCCTGCAGAGCCCCACCCAAATCAGGCAAGTGCCCCTACACCTCCACACCACCTGGGGCTCAGCAGAGGGCAGCCAGGGCTGCTGGAGTATTACAGGGCTCTGGTACATCTGGGGAGTTGTACAATCTCTTCCCTGTTCCTCAAAGTCCCCTCTTGGGTGGGAAACAGTGCTGAGATGTTTGTATTTTGAAATGACTTAGTATTTTCCAGAAGGAACTTGAAACAGAAAGAGATCAAATTACATTCGAGCTCTAGGGAGTTTGGCTCAGTGGATAAAGCATTGGCTGGAGGCTGAAGGCTCCTGGGTTCGATTGGAGTCAAGGGCACATGCCTGGGTTGTGGGCTCAGTCCTCAGTAGGGGGCATGCAGGAGGCAGCAGATCAATTATTCTCTCTCATCGTTGATGTTTCTATCACTATCTCTTCTCTCCCTTTCCCTTCTCCCCCCTGAAATCAATACAAATATATTTTTAAAAAATTACATTGGATAGCAAATTTAAATATTTTAAATACAACCAATATTACTTTACCCAGCAAAGCTATCATTTAGAATGGAAGATCAGAATAAGAGCTTCACAGACAAGAAAAAGCTAAAGGAGTTCATCACCAACATACTAGTGTTACATGAAATGTTGAAGGGTATTCTTTAAGAAGAGGGGGGGAAAAGATAAAAATAATATGTACCATTAAATGGCAATAAATAAATTTCCACGAAAATTGAATCTAAAAATCAAAATAAATGAAAAGAAATCTAATGAACAAAATAAACTGATGAATAAAATAGAATCAGAGGGATGGAAACGTGGAAAGGACTGATGAATCTCAGAGAGGGATCAGGAAGAGATTAGTCAAAGACCTTATATGCACACTAGAGGCCCGGTGCACAAAAATCTGTGCACTCGGGGGGCAAGGTGGTCCCCTCAGCCTGGCCTGAGCCCTCTTGCAGTCTGGGAGCCCTCAGGAGATGTTTGACTGACAGTTTAGCAGTCGCACATCCTTAGCGCTGCCACAGAGGCAGGAGAGGCTCCCACCACCACCACTATGCTTCTAGCCGTGAGCTCAGTTTTTGGCTGAGTGGCTCTCCTCCTGTGGGAGCGCACTGACCACCAGGGGCAGCTCCTGTGCTGAGTGTCTGCCCCGTGGTGGTCAGTGTGCATCATAGTGACTGGGTCATTCTGTGGTTCGGTTGATTTGCATATTAGCCTTTTATTATATAGGACAAGAACTAATCACTGAT